TTTGTTTGAAAATTTTTATATTAGAATCAAATATCATAACATTTCAAGCATGCCATAAATTCAAATATAATATTACCAAGACATTAATTCGAGTTAGAGCATTCAAAGTTCGTATATGAGATATTGTTGATCTCTTTGGTCAGTAAATGCATTTAAATATCTTTCGAACTTTTGATTCCAATTATTTTTGTGAGAATTTAAATAATGATGCATTTGTACATTATTTTAGTTTCTTAATTCTTCTTCCTCATACTGAGAAAATTGTCTATTCAAATTGATAATTGCAAACCATATTATAAAATATCATCAGTCTGAAATAAAAAGTTCGAACAACTCATTTATTCTCTAAATTATTTACTTTCCATGTCAATGCATTGTGGTGGATCAATTTTACATATACTACATTATCAAAATTATTTGATGAAAAAATTAGGCTCGGACCATATGCCTAGTTATAGTAGGGATAACTATGATGATATGACACGTAATAGCCTTTCCTAAATAGAAATGGAAAGTACTTCGTTTTCAATTAAATTAATTGGAGGTGTATAACAATCAATAATGTTGAATCATTTATCAACATTTCATCTAGTACATATTAAAATGTTGAGATTTACAATTACTAGATTAAGAGGTTACACCGTCTTAACTGTATAATCTGAAAATTCTACTCATAATTTAAAATTTGAGAAGTAATTTCGCAAACTATAAGTTATAAACATCATGCAACCATCGAGCATACATGTTAAATCTATTAGATACAAATAATATTTAGATGGTCTACGTCGAGGATAATGAAGCCCCATTTATCACCCTGATTAATTTTCAGAAATATAATGAATTCGATCCCTATTTTTAACTAGCGATGATCAATTTTCGATAAAAAAAACAAATAACGTATAGGAATTTATTGGATTGAAGATTCAGGTTCTTTGTTGAATGTCCATTTAAATTTTTTATTTCATATCATTATTGATCCAATATGATCCAACTGGTCATGCCGAACAATAATACATTCATTAATTAAAATTTTGAGTTAATATATTATTCGTTCTAATTATACTACACATTTTAGAAACTTATCACATTTCACTTTAATTTAGAGGGGAATAAATTATTATCAATAGTAAAATTTATTCTCTCACATAACGCAATACTAACCCTTCTATAGTATCAAAACATATTCTTCTAAAATATTGCTATATACTTGGTTATGATTACTCGCAAGTAATAAAACAATATTTTTCAGGAATATTGATATATTAAATTAATCATAATATTTTTCTAAAAATATTAATATGCATATATTTGTGCTTCTTCACAAACACAATATGGTATTCTTCAAAAGAATATTAATATATATTATTTTTGCTTCTTCTGAAGCAATATATCAATATTTTTCTGAAATATTGAAATTTTAATGACATGGTCTTCAGGAGCAAATAATTCTATCTAGAACATTCACATAAGGTATGTGTTATGATTTTCCTAGAATATCAACACCATATTTCTTTAGTATAAATGTAATTTCTAGTTGTGCTTCTTCAAGAGCACAAGATAAATCAAAATATTTAATTAATCTAATAATTCACAAGTATAATATATAGCAGTATAGAAAGACTTTTAAATAATTTTCATCCTTGAATTTGAAAACTTTAGAAAGCGTTAAATAGTTGAAAATTTTATATTCTTCAAAGATATAAATTTGAATTTTTTTATAAAACTTAAAATTTGCTACTGTCCCACAAATAAGCCGTTAGATTTTGATAAGAATAGATTGATTTAAAATACAATGAGCTATAAACATCTTGTCCAAATTTCATTACGATCAAACCACGAATGTTGAGTTATCAACGTTTTTATCACAGTTGCTCAGACTGTCCAAATTCTACAAATTTTTGCACTGTTGATTCCAATATAATAATACAATCATTCAATATTATATAGAATCACTATAGGGTCAATGAACTTTGAGTTTGTGACATTATTTGACTCAATCATTTTCACTAATGTACGTATAGTAGATGCGAGAATAGAATGTCAAAAGTTTTTCTTTTGTTTACTTCGGGTCAAATATAAAAAAAGTTATGTATAGATATTCTATATTTTTTCTTGCACATTCTCCATGTGATATTCATTGCATTGACTATCTTTAAAACTAATCAATTTTTTATTTTAATTTTTTTTTAAATTTGCTTGCATAAAGTGTATTATTAATATATAATTTTGTATTATTAGATAAAATAAAACAGGTTCTTCGGACCCTTCAATGATATTTGATGCATCTAATATTGTATCAATATTATTTTTTGTTAATGTTAATTATAAGTACTTTTTATTTTAAAGAATTTTTTGCATAGTTACACTATCTTCTAAACAGATATCTTAATAATCCATCTTAATCTTTTTAACATTCCAAGATTTATACTTTTTCAAAAAGAAATAATAGAATATTCTCTGAGAATATTCAAAAACTAAATATTATGCTTTTTCGGAGCAATAAACTAATATCTTCTTGAATATTAATAAAATAAAATAAAATAAAATACTTTTTTTTTAATTACAACACAATATTGAGTAATTTAATTTATGTTTCCTAGGGAGCACAATGAAATATATATTCTTCTAGAACCGTGCCACTTCGATAACACATTATATTTTATTACTATTTCTTCAAAAGTAATATATCAATATTCTTGTGGAATATTGAAAACTATAATTTAATGCTCTTCAGGAGCAATAACATATTATTGTTTAGAACAATAAATTATGTAAGAATTTACTCTTTAAGATTACAAAAATAATTTATGTTAGATCTATTTTATTATTCTCTTTGAGAGCAAGTAAAATTTAATTAGAATACTAACGATTGTGAACCAATGCTACAAGTCTTTGTATAAGCTTTTGAGATCAAGGTTGACAAAGCTGAAGAGCAGTAGCATTCCACTGACCTGCATCACCAAATAATGCCTTTACAGGCATGGAAACGTGTCTACTTTAGGAGCAACAATATGATACGGTTTAAATTTATTGAAAAAATAAAAAAAATTAATCAATTTATAGTAGAATAATTTTTTTTTGAACAAAAGTATAAAATTCACAAATTAAATATATTAGACAATTGCATAAAAATATGCTATTATATTAATCTAATCATGCAAATTATATTAATGTAATCATGCTACTAAATTGGGAGAACATTCAAACGGCACGGAGATGGATGTGTGCCTTCATTAATTACATATTATAATAATCAAATTGTTTGTTATAATAAGAGTTTTGCTATATGGACAGGGCCACATAGGCGCAGACAACTGACCAATAAGAGGATGCCACATCGCCGCCATTTGGATAAGGCCTACGTGGCCTTGTCCAAGAAGAATTATTCATTATAATAATTCTCTCATTTTTCTCCTCTAGACAATTTCTAGTCAGATTTTTGTTCAAGATTTGTCAGTGCAAATTCAATGATTGCCATTGCAAATTGATTACAAGGCACCCTCTTTCGCTAGCACTGAATGGAATCAATTGGAAATATATTCCTCTGAAGTCTATAGAGGAATTCAAGAATCACTCGAGCTAAAATTAGAGACCAAAAGCAAGTTGAGCTTTAAATTAAAAAAATTTGTGCTGATAACATGTTATAAAAATAGAGAAAAGAATAGGACAATGAAGAAGTCAATAGAATTGTATATTATTATTAAAAACCAAAGTCTTATATTTATATTGAAGAATTAGGGATAAAATCATAATAAAAATTAGGATTGTATGGATTTAATTTTCATTTACTCATAATCATATTATTTACAATACAAACTTGTTTTCGTAATTTGCTTCTTCAATCTATAATCTTCAATTTTCATTTTTAGTGTCACATAACTCATATTGGCGACTTCGCAATCTTTTGCAATAGCAGAAGGCTTTCCTTGAAGCGACTCTAATGTGACAACTCCAAACTTTCTATGAGTAGCGTATACAAATTACCAACCTTTTTACCTCATTAATGCGATATAATTAATCTTCACATCAATTCTCCCAATGCATGCTGAATATTTATATGTCAACGTGTCCAGTGCTCCCAACAGTGTCAAACTTTTTCTCAATCTTGAGACCTATTAATAACCGCTCTGCTACATCAAAAATCTTCACACTTAAAATACTTGAACCTTTAACTTCAAGTTTATGATTATTAGTCATGACGACATCATGAGCATCTAATAGCTTATAATCCTCAAAGCAGTCCTTGTGTGGGCATATATGATTACACATCCAAAATCCAAGAGTTACTTGAAGAGTCGTAATTTGTGACACAATAATCACTATCAATATCATCATCAACCATGATCGTAGAATCAGAGGCCTCTTTAGACTCTAGACTCTTCTTTACTTTAAGATGATATGTCAACTTCTCACATTTTGCCTTAATGTGTCCTTTCTTGTGGCGGTATTAACACTTGGCATTTCTCCTATAATGACATTGAGAATGATCCCTCCGGACATTATTTCTTCCTCGCGATTTACCACACCTCATTTCAGACTTTGTCTAGAGTACTTGATTTAAAACCTTCTTCACTATCGAAGTAGATTTACCAACTAGTAACGTGGTGACCAATGTCTCATCTGACTTAGGTAAGGAAGACAGCAAAATTATTATCTTATCTTTTTCCTCAATTTTTGACATCAATATTAAACAACTCAGTTCACACTTATTCAAATGATTCCTAAGATCAGTGTCCTCATCTATCTTCAAATCATATAATTATTTTCTCAGATATAAACATAAATTAAAACATATCAGGATCTTTTAGCATTTTGAATAACTTAAAATGCAAATTTCTTATTCAAAACACTATAATTTACCTAAGCAATCATGCTACGTGGTCAAAGTTAATGACTAAAAAGTATTTCCAAATTACACTTGACAATTTTTCATTGAATAAAGGGTAAAAAAACATCATAAAAATACTCAATTATTAGCTGCCACATCAGTCTATTTTTTTATTCCCTATTTGTTCAGCATTATTCTTACCTAAGTACAAGCCAATCTAATGGTGTTGACTGTCTCCAGTTTCAATTCTTCCAACTCCGCTTCTTCATGCCTTGTGACATCTTACCTTACAAATCTTTGTAAAGTCCCTATTGCAAGAGAATAACTTCAACTGTACTTCACAAAATATTTAAATTATTTTTCTCGCCAAATCGTTTACCCTCAAACTTTGCACATGCCATCATCTTCGAGGCAGTATCCCGAGTTTGAATTTTGAGCTCCGAAACCAGTAGACTTCGCAGGATGAAATTGGCAGAAAATGAACAAGAACCAATGAGAGGTTGATTAGGGACGAGAAAAACGAATTGCAGAGAACGAGTCACATGAACCACCAAAATCAAACCAATAAAATGAAATAGAGATATCAAATTAAACACAAATAAATATGTAATCGTTAAATTCAATTTTACCACGTCAATCTGCAGAAATTTTCGGTGCTCGCAGGCGACAGAGATAGGTGGAAGAAAGGGATTCTATGGGGGCTCAAGAGAGAGACTGTAGAAGTGATTGCTTTTCTCTCTGTGCTATTTTATTAGAGAGATATTTATGAAAAGGAGTTAACCAGTTAGTGAATAGTGAATAGTGAATAGTGAATAGTGAATAGTGAATATCCGGTTAGTGTATGAAATGGGACACCATAGAAATGAACAGTGAAGGCTGGTTCCCTCTTTTATATAAGTGCAATGATTTTAGCAAGTTTTAAAACTTCAAGTCATAATATTTTGGGTTCTATGGATATATTCACATTATACTTTTAGAAATTGTGTTTCATTAGGCCAAAATTATGTACTGAATAGTACATAAGAGAAATAAAGAAAAAAAATTACTAGATTTTTGTGTCACACAGAAATTTCTCAATGTCACCCTCTAGGGTATGCATTTTGAGAGAGATGTAAAATTCAATCGAACAAATATTAATTTCAAAAAACTGTGAGGCCATATGGCTAACACTTGTAGAGATTGTTAGTTTAATGTCCCTTTTTTCAGTAGTATTTTGAAAAACGACATTCTGAATTGACATGCTACAATTTGAAATGATTATCTAAGGTTCCATGAACATATAGAACGTCACAAATTATATACTCAATAGTTTAGGTATAGTAAGATGCAATTCAAGATGTGATCAAAATATGTCGTTTACAATCTCAGTACATGAAGTTGGACACTTTATGTTTATAAAATTACATTGTTCTTATTAAGATTTGTCTATATTTGGCAATAAGAACAATAATGTGTTTTGTGATGCACATTAAACGGGAACCGCATAGATAACTCATTTGTGATCGTTCGAAATGAGACTCTATCAAACAATTCAACTAAATCCTGAGTGAGTAATATACTTTTGATTGCTAGTTCAAATTTTTTGAAGTAACAATGAGTGAAATCTTAATTAGAAGATTGATCTTGGTGCTTTGGGAATCAGGTCGAAACAATTAGAGATCATATACTTGTGATAGTGAAATCCATTAATCATTAAGATGAGACGATCATCACTCTAAGGTATTTTAGATAGACAATTGAACCTGTGCTCAGTAGCTTGATGATGAGATCGTTGGACTCTATATTGTTATTTGATCACAACTAATTCATCTTATGAAAATGGAACTTAGAGGGTAATAATGTTCAAGGACAAAACGGTTATTTTATCATTTTCAACTTATTAATGGTCCAATGGGGGTTGACTTGTGGAACAATAATCGGAGCATATTTTCATCGAATCATAATTTACTTCTATAACTATCACTCGACTCGACAATGGAATCTCGATTTTTGGTACAATGAGCCGAGATTAATAGATGTATCTCAATTGGTTAAGAGTTGACCCAATTAGAAACTTCTATTGTAGCTTAAGTCTTGTTGGTCTGATTAGGTCCCTTTCTTGACTACAATAAATGTGTGACTTAATTGGTCTACTACAATTAAGTCCAAGAAAATTTGTGCAATTATAAAATCCTAATTGAGTATTATAAATATGTCCTTTATGGACACATTTTCACTTAGTTTTTAGGGTAAGCCATATTTTTATTTCCCAAAGAGGGAGGCACCTAAAGAACACAAGGGATAAGATATAAGGGAAAAAGCACTTGGCTAGGCCACTAAAATCTCCTTCAAGGTTATCATTTTCCTTTTATGTGGAAGAATTTAAGACATCCAATGATCTCAAGGTGATCGTAGATCTTTTATTTATTTACATTTAATCTTCAAAGGGAAATTAATTTCCTATTTTGATGATTAAATTCAATAACCAACAAATGGAATCAAAGCCAAGGTTACTAAGAGCCTTGAGTAGGATTAAGTGCTTCGAATCCTAGTATAAAATGCATTTTTAGTATGGGCGGTGTTAGGTTATTTAATTTGACATGTTTACTACTTTATATGCTTAAAGTAGATGTTTATACATAATCACTTTTGGCCCTGGGATTTTTTTTTACTTCCCATTCTAATTCATTCCATTTGTCTTTCTTTTCTCTAGAAAAATTGTAAGCCATGCGTCATTAGGGTTTTGTACATATTTTTCATACTTCTACACTTGTGTATTAAAAGAAGATGAAGTTTTTTGGGCTTCATGCATTTTTCGTTTCTGATTCTTGTTAGAGAAATGGAAGGAGATAGAAATAGGACAAACAAAATGCAAAAACCATTGTAGAATTACAAGTGGCGGCAATAACAACTATCGCGACCGGAGTGGCTACAGTCGCTGCGTCCAAATGCAACAGTTGCTCCAAGTTGTGATAGCTGCTTCTGTTGCCTGTCATGACAACCATAGCTACTGCAAATGTAGCAGCGGCGCTTGCTATTACTGTTTGCAGTCGCCATTGCCACTCGACGGCTGCAGCTATGGTGGCCTCTTTTGGTGTTGCTACTGTCGATGTCATTGTAGGAGATGGATGGTGGATGTGATACATGGCGAATTTTCCAGGATTTGTGAAATTAGGTTATTTTTGAGTTTTTGTGCTTTTCTTTATGACTTGGGCAAATATTTTTGGCTAAGGGCTTTTGATTTAAGGATTGCGAAAAAATTAAATGGACTCAATTTTTGAATATTGAATGGGTTAGATTACAAGGAAATTGAAGAATTGGGGCGAAAATTGCTTTATGGATGATGAATGAATGTATGATTATCACATGTCATGTAGATTAAATTGAACACCACCCAATGCACTAAACATATGCATTGGTATTGGATTTTTTTTATCACTCTAAATTAATTAGATGTGGTTAAAAAATTATATTTAACAATTTAGTGCCATTATAATTGTTTATATTTGGCACATTAATTATAAAATCAAAATCCAATGGTTCAAAATAATAAGTGGGGGAAGGTTTATAGCGTGTATAAACTTGCGGCCTCCTCCTTCATCCAATTTATTATTAAAATACGTATGTCTGGTGTCAAATTACATCGGTCTCCCTAAAGGAAGACTACGTTATTCTAAATTAACTGAAATTGAATCTTATAATAGAAAGTTTTAAAAATTGGATAATCGGCTGATTATCCTATAGATAACATCTCATATATTTTGGATAATTTAAAAATTATTTGCAGAGGTTATTACACTTATATATGACTTTATTTTTGGAGGACTTCCAGTAGAAGGTTCCAACAAAATATTTATAAGTCAAATGATAATAAATCCTCATTTTTATTGTGGCACGAGATGCCTAACTCCATCAAATGAGTGGGAGTGTTCCAACTTTGTGATGAGGACAAATCAAAAATCTAATTAGTGAATAAATCAACGCTACAATCTTCCCGTATAAAGTGGCAACTCTAATTTATTGGTTGTGAACAAAATATTTGTAATCAAAATATAAGTTATGTCACACTACACTTCTCAGTACAAGTACCCAACTTATATTGTCACAGGTAATTATAATTACTTTAATTCATATGCTCACATACTCAATAATAAATAAATACATTAAATGGATAAAATCACAATTTGTTTATTATAAATTATTATTTATTATAACAAAATATACTATATGGACACACAACCCCACAGTCTCCACTTCCTACGTACTTTGTTTATATTTTTTATTATTTTAACCCCAAACCTTAGATCTCTCTCTTTTATTTGCACACGCAAACACATATTGAAAGCACAGGTCAGCAGCTACAGAAACTACCTAAGAGCCACTAACTTAGGTTGTACACGCCGCAAGAAGATAAGTAGAAGAAGCCGAAACAAAGAGAACCAATGCTAAAAGGAACTCATAAATAAGGAATGGGTGGAGAAGACACGACTTCCAAATAAAAGAGACGAGATTGGGAGTATCCCTATGCTGCAGGCCAGTGGCGGCATCACGAAATTGATACCCATCAATGTCGACAGCTCGGGGTTGCTCCATCGAGGTGCTAAGAGATTTGGGGATTTAGAAATTCCAAAATGTCTATCCAGTGTTTATTGGGTTGATTACAAGAGGAATGGATCTGGTTATTATCAAAAAATGATTTTTAATATGAGATCATAAGAAATTAAAAAAGCGATTCAATAAGAGAGGGCAAACGACTAATGAATTCAATGTAGTGAAGTAGTTCTTTTATTCAATGTCTCAAGATGGGTTTCAATGCCCAATAACGTTAAATTAATTTTTCTTCCAATTAACTAAGGTTATTGAGGCTGAGTTTGAGGCGGGGACTTTATTTCTCATCCCCTACTCGTGATAAGGACTTTTTTTCCAACTGTGCTATGTGTACAATCGGGATTGACAAACCCATTTGACAATTGGACACTTAGGAGGGGGGCTCACACTGAATAGAAAAATCGTGAGCCCCCCTCCTATGAGTGCATTGTCAACATGGATTGTACAAGAAGAATAATTTCTTTTTTCCTAACCCCCACCCCAATTCATTGATTAATCTAGAATCCCCCGCTAGTTTGGGCAGGCCATATGGGGGACTAGAACAATTGAGGATAATTGCTCCCCCGAATATCATTTTTGAATGTGTAATGGTTCGTGCGACTCACAAAGACACTATACAAATGTTATATATATACGTAATATATATTATATTGCACACCCATGATATATATTTTGTACGCTCACACGATCTGTGATTTGAAATCGATCTAGCAAATTTATTCATAATTTGATTAATCTCTCGAAATAAGTTGGTCGTATTTTACGTTTATTGTGGTTAATGTTTATGCATATAATATTTCTACGGATGTGTTTTATTTTTTGGTCCATATTACGTATGATTTATTTAGAATTGACAGGAGTTTAATAGCGTTACGTACGAGAATTTAACATCATCTAAGTTCGGTTTAATTTTCAAGTCTCTCTCTATAATTATGATTTTTTTTTGGGTATAAAAATACATATATAAATTCATTATTCAAGCACATTTATTGATATTTATTCTCATCCCTTTATATCTTTTCTTCTAGATGATTGATGATTCGAGGCGGTTGGCACGAATATGGCTTATGGTGGCAAAAGTTCCGATAATAGATTATTTTGTTATCTTTAAAATATTTCTTTTTTCAAGTTAAATTATCAAAATCACTGGATCATTTGAATTATTATATATGTTTAATAATTTATA